AAAAAAGAAAAGAATGAAGGAATAAATGAGTTAGCAAGCTATGACAAGACATGTAGAATAAGTGAAGGAAGTCAGCCTGTAAAGGTTAAATACTACATGATTCCATCTCTGGAACATTCTGGAAATAGCATAACTACAGTAAAAAGATCAATGTTTTTGCCAGGGGCTTGGGTTGTGGAGGGCAAGAGAGGGAAGAAGGGATTGAATAGGTGGAATTTGGGATTTTTAGGGCAGTGAAACTGTTCTGCATGATTTTATATTGGTGCATACATGCTGTTTTATGTTTATCAGAATCCATAAAGTATATAGTACCCAAAGTGAACCCTAATTCAAACTATCAAATTAGTTAAAAGGAATGCATCAGTATTGGCTCCTCAATTCTAACAAAAAAATCACAGTACACGAGATGTTTGCAATAAGGAAAACGGTGTGTGGACGTGCAATGGGAAAGAGGGGCCTATGGGAACCCCAAGTACTTTCTCCTCAATTTCTCTGTACATTTCTCTGTAAAACTGCTCTAAAAAAGAGGTCTATTCATTTTTAAGTGTTTTTATTAGTTAATTCTAGTTATACATAATAGTGGGGTTTATTTTGATATGACCATACATGTATGGGATATAGTTTAATTCATTGTGGTCTGTTCATTTTTAAAAGTTATATAAAAATAACTAAAATTTTAAAAAAGATACCAAGGTGGTTTCATTGAACACTCTTTTAAAACTGTTAAACATTATCCAAATACATTATCCAAATGATGATAGAATATGAGGAAAAGGCAAATCTTACTTCTTTGAAAAATGACCAAAAGGAAATAAAAATAATGCTCCATCTTACTTATAAATGAAGATTCAAACATTCGCTACAACATCAGCAAAGAGAATACAATCATGTATTAAAAGAAAAAAAATCTTTACAGGCTGTAGCTTTCATTTTGAAAGCTTCAGAAAGTACCAATAGTTTGGGATCCTATTAAGAATTCCATGTCAAATCTATTCAGGAAGTAAGTGCTTGGAAATTCACCATACCCAACATTGTATTAAAAATTCTTGAAATCCTACAGTAAAGAAACTTGTTATGGGTTTTAAAACAGTTCCCCATAGTTGGCGAGAGAACACTGTAACTTTTGTGAGTCACCCATTAACATCCCATAAAAGGATACACGACTCAAAGCAGCCAGGCTTGCATTCTTCAAGTTGCTTAAACAGTAAATAGATAGAGGGTCCCAAGATGCCCTGTCCCCATCCTGGCATCCAGGGAGTATGTTACTCACAGGGTGAAGGGGAATTGAGGTTACAGATGGAGGTAAGGTTGCTGATGTGTTGGCATTCACATAAGAATCATCCTGAATCATCTAACGGGGTTCAAAGTAATCATGGGTCTTCAAAATGGAAGAGGAGGCAGGAAAGGAAATTAGAGAAAGAGAGATGAAAATGGGAACAGGTCAGGATGATGTGATCTGACAATGACCATCCACCCTTGTTTGTTTGCAGATTCAAGAAGGGGTCGTAGGCAGACTCTAGAAGAGGGAGGAGACAAGAAATGAGACCATCCCTGGGGGGCCTCCAAAAATGAGTGCATCCCTTTTGGCACCTCGATTTTAGCCAAGTGGGACCTGCGTTGACCAGCAGCACAGGAAGGAGACACATTTGTGTTGTTCTGAGTTAGAACTGTTATAGAAAACAAATACGGAAACTGTTTCAACACCACCTTTAAAAACCTTATGATTTATTTTTGTGCTTTTACAATTAATCCTATGAAACACAAAGGGAAAGCAAATTAGAATTAGTCTCAAGTCAAAATTTTAGAACACGTTTAGAGTGTGCTTGTAAAGACCTTCATCACGGCTGTGGTATAGAGGAAGGAAGTAGTATTTGCAGATTTAATGTGTATATGATGTGTAAAAGTGTTTTTTTTCCTGTTTGTTCTTTCATGTCTCTGTTATGAAGTTATCATAGAGAATCAGAGTCATTTGTGGAAAGAATGTGAAAGCAGGACTTGAGACTGTGCTGGTAGGGTTTGGAGCCAGGCTGTGGCCCTTGAGCACTGTGTAGTCCTGAGGAATTGCCCGCCTGCTGGCCCTGCCTGCCAACCCATCCTTCTTCCCTTTCCTTTCCATGTAAAGTTTGCTCAGGTAAAGTTCACTCACATGTGAGAAAACCCAAAAAACCCATTATAGAATTCCAAACAGGGAAATGTCCTTCTCTTAATTTCGTTCTCGCTATGCTCAGTCCCCCTGCCACTCCCTACTCCAACATCACAAGGAACCCACCATTCTTGGTGCCTTGTGTGTATTCCAGACTTATCTTATGAAATTCAAGGCAAAAGGGAGACTCATAATTTATACAAAAGATCACACATATCATGCTACATTGTTTTCTTTCATACCTTCTCTCTCTCTTTCTCTCTCTCTGTCACTCTCTCTCTCTCATACACACACACACACACACACACATATGGGGATTGAAACCAGTGCTTAACCACTGAGACACACCCCCAACTCTTTTTATATTTTATTTATAAAAAGGATCTCGCTAAGTTGCTGAGGCTTTTTGCTTTTTAATTGAACCATTATTCTTTTTAAAATTTTGGGTTTTTTCTAGATAGACATGACAGTAGAATATATTTTGATATATTCTACATATATAGAATAAGTATAACTTTTTCCAATTAGGAGCCCACTATTGTGGTTATGTATTATGTGGAGTTACATTGGTCATGTATTCATATATAAGGATAGGAAAGTTATATCTGATTCATTCTATAGTCTTTTCTATTTCCATCCCTTCCGTCCCTTCATCCCACCTTGTATAGTCCAGTGAATTTACAATCTTCCCCTCCCTTGTTGTAGCTTAGCATCCACATATCAGATGAGATTCGGTGTGTTCAGGGTTGTATGGCCATAGATGCATCCATATATCAGAGAGAACATTCTGTCTTTGATTTGCGGGGGTACTGGCTTGTTTTGCTTAGCATGACATTCTCCAGTTCCATTCATTTATCAGCAAATGCAATGATTTCATTCTTCTTTGCAGCTGAGTAATATTTCATTGTGTATATATACCACATTTTCTTTATCCAACTGTTGCTACTCCAAAAGGATAGATATATTCTGAACTTTCTGAAACTTCTACAATTTTAAGGAAATTCTAAAAAAAAGAATCAGGACAAAATGACTTGTGTAATAGAAAGTGTGTCAGACTAGACAGCCACCATCATTTTCCAGCTTATCCCAACCAAAATCTTTCTATGTGAGCTGAAAAAATTATGTAATTACTCTGGTCCTTTATCTTATTTGTCCTGCTACATTTGCAAGAATATTTAGTATCCCAAATCTGTCTCAGATTCGCCCCTCCTGTTTCTCCCTGGTACTGGTGCATTGGATTTACTCTGTTGATTGCAATTAAAATCAACTTTCTCTAGCTTGAATTCACTTCTGGGAACAGTAGTGGTTAATACACTGGAAGAATGTCGATCCAAAATCTTTGCATTTTGAGTACTAAGTTTTATGATGCCACCTTGCATAGAGGCTTATAAAATGGTAGAAAGGATGAATGGTGAGAAGGAGGATTCACCTTTCCACACACTCAAGTCTAATTGCTTATGCAAAACCTAAGTTGACTTGGTTGACACTCAGCAAGCAGGTCTTTGCTACAGTTCTAGATTTGGAAATCATCAGAGTTTAGTGGTGGTCAGCCCAGGGGCACAGATGACATACCCACAGAGACGGGTACCCAGAGGAGAAAACCAGGCAAACGATTGATGGATGTCTTACATGCCATCCCTTCTCTCTCCCTCAAAAACCCACCAAAACTAAAGACAGAGACAGGGAGTGTAGTTTCCATGCAGTTGGTTTATTTTGGGAAATGGTCTCAAAACAGGAATGAGGTCCTGCCAGAGCAGAAGGAAAAGAGGAAAAATCTTACAAGTGTTCTTCAAGCTGATCTCTAGGTTGGGCAATGGGAGCTGTGTTCCTTGGAGACATTATGAGGACCCTGAGAAATGAATCCCAATCAGCTTTAGCCCCAGTGAGCAAAGGTTGCCCATGGGCATCAACTCCCTCAGACTTGTAGGCACCCTGCACAGAGATGACAAGAAGCCCTGGACTTCTTTTTTGTTTGTTCCTTCCTTGGTTTCATGAAATACACTCCTATTTTAAACATCTATGTTACAGTCACTAGGAAATGTTTAAAGATAAGAGATTCATTCTTTGCCATTCAATAGGGATGAGCCAACACAGGGATGGAGAAATGGAGAGGGTGTGGAAGAGGTGAATAACGACACAGGTGGCCACAGATCCAACCTTTGTACCTACATGAGCCCTAATTTTCCACCCTTAATTACTTTTCACTCTTCCTGTTGAGGAAGAGGAAGATGAGTGTCAAAGTGGTTCAGCGACATCCCTGTCTATTGCCTGATAGTGATGAACAAGTCCTTCCTTCTCTGATGGAGGCTGCCTCCACATCTGTCATTATTCCCCTTCACACATCAAAATCTGCCAGGGCCTGCTGAGGGTTCCTGGAATGCTTCAGTTCTAGCACAAGTCTCTCAGGGGTGCTTGCAAATTTTAGGGAGCCCAGGTCCCTGTGAAATGGGAAATATGTCAAACAGTGGTACCCATTTAGCACCCGGCACCTCAATCGAAGTGTTTGTGAATTCCAGGAGCTCAGAGGTTGTTCCATCTCCCTCCAGAAACTCCAGAAATAGGCCAGAGTTCCTTTGGCAGCCGGAAGGGCTGCCAGAGTCAAGAAGCCAAAGAATGGCTTATAATAGAATGTACATGTCCTCAAGACCTATTTATTTATTTTTCTGAAATTTAAATTTAATTGGGCATCTTGTCTTTATATGGCAGACTTACAACTGAATAATAGCTTTCCCCCCAAAATATCACCACCAATGGGGAAATAGAGGAGTGATAGTGTGGTTTTGGTTGCAGGAGAAAAAAAAATGAGTACTCTACCATTTTGGATATGAGGGGAACCATGTTTTTTTTTCTTTTCCAGGTGGATGTGATTCTCTTTGGGCAGTACAGGCCACATGACTTGATGACACCCAGAAATAGTGAGTACCATGTATTCTGGAGACAGCTATTCCCTGATGATATAAGTTCCTCGAACACATCCTACTCCTCATCAGCTTTATCTTTGTGATGGAGAAAAATTGTATCTTATCAAGGATTAGACTCAAAAGATATTTCAACCACTTCACATTCATTAGGATATATATTATCAAAAGGAATGAAGATAACAAGAGCTGTAAGGCCATGGAGATACTGGAAGATTGGAACTTCGCTGCTGTAAGAGGGGCCCTTTTCATATAACAGGGTACACTTTAGGCTCTCAATAGACATCCTGATGATTTACCACTGGTGGTACATTTAAAACTTTATATATATATAAAATATGTATATATATGTAAATATATAAATATATTTTTTTCTTCCTATTTTCTCTCTTCCTCTCTCCAATCTCAGGAAAACCAAGATTAACATTCTTTCAGTGCTAGATCAATTTGTCTTGTTTCTGCTCAGTAAAGAAACTCTGGGCCTGGAAACAGGAAGCAATGGCTCTTTCAAGGATGAAAGTCGAACATTAATTAGACTTACTGAAAATGATACCTGGTTAACAGCCCTTATATCCCCCCTTTTAAAGCTTTCTGTTCCTCTGGTAGCTAGAATGGGAGCCTCCGTTATGTAAGTCTTTGCCTTTCTCCTTGGCTAGCAAAGCAATAAAACTCCCCTCCTCCTTTTCTCAAAACATTGTCCTTGTTATTGGACTGGCACTAGGGCCAAGGAGCAAACTTTTAGTATCGGTGGTGGAAATGTGAAATGGTTGCAGTCAGTGGAGGGAAATATTTGTTGGTACCTTAAAAGTTAAAGACAGAATTACTATGTGATCCAGAAATTCTAGTTTTGGGTGTATGTTCAAAAGAATTGAAAGGAGGAGTCCAAACATATATTTGCGCACCAATGTTCAAAACAGTAATGACAACAGTCAGAAGGGGGAAAACGACCCAAAATATATTAACAAAATGGTGGATACAATATGTGGTGTACACAGAAAATGGAATTTTATTCAGCCTCTGACACATCTAAAACATGATGAACCTCGAAGATACTGTGCTAAGTGAAATAAACCAGACACAAAATGGCAGACATTGCATGATTTCACTTATACGAGGCATCTACAATGGCTAAGCTCATAGAGACAGAAAGTAAAATGGAGGTTGTTAACAGGCTAGGGGAGGGGGACAATGAGTTAGTATTTCATCAAGACAAGAGTTTCTTTTTGAGAAAAATAAAAAGATTCTGGAGATGGATGGTGATGATAGCTGCCCAGTATGAAGTCACTTAATGCCACTCAACCGTACACTTAAAATAGTTGAGGTGATACATTTTGTGACATGCATATTTTATATGAAAGTTATTTAAAGTGAAGTTTTAGAAAATTATTTAAAACTAACATTGTCAACTGCCTAATGTTATTTCTGAAAGCCTGCAGAAGGTGTCTCATTAGAGACTTCTAGTGAAGTCGTTTTCCTTCAGTGTTAGACTAGACTGTTGGCCACATTGTGGGCAAAGCACACAGTGTGGCGAGGTCCCCATATTCAAAGGCATAAAGAGACCAAAACCCAAGGAGGCAATGGCAGAGTCCTGCCCTTCATCACACGCAGGCAATAGACTCCAGGCAACAGACTTTGAGTAAATACTGTGCTGCATGTCTGCAGTGTTGAAACATTTTCTCCATCTCTTTTCCCCTTCTCCCGATGTATATGGTTAGATTTGTGCAAATAAAATGAATATTTGATGCAATTCAACTGGAAAAACTATTATTTATATGCCTTTTACTATGCATAAGGCTATGGGTACTGTTGTTTTAATTTCTCTACTTGGAATATTTCATTTACTTCATACAATAAACTAAACAAGTAGGTCAATTTGTAAATGCCGCACAGCCTTATAAAGACACATGGGATAATACTTGTGTCCATCCTTTAACCGTGAAAGATTTGACTGAGGACCCATTTTCTCTTGTAGTAATTGAACTTGGAGAGATAAAGGCAGTGATGGACAGAAAAGAGGTTCTGGTAGAGTTGAGCCTATAGACTCAGGACCATAACTGTTAACGGGGTTTGGATACTTGCACATAGGGTATTATGGTTTGGATACGAGGTGACCCCCAGGCTTCTGTGTTAATGCACAAATATTTGGAGGTAAAGAGATTGGATGGTGAGAACTGTGACCTAATTAGTCCATCCTAGTTTGGATGGACTGACTGGGTTGAAACAGTAGGCAGGTGAGATGTGGTTGGAAGTGTTGGGTTCCTGGGGACATGTCCTAGAAGAGTGCTTCTCCTGTGGTCCTTTTCCCCATTCCCTCTCTCTCATCTTCTTCCCTGACATGAGAGGAGCAGTTTTCCTCTAATGGGCCCTTTTCCCATGATATGCTGCTTCAACTTGAGACCAGAGCCATGGTGTTGGCTGTTTATACACTAAGACCTGCAAAACCCTGAGTCCTCAACAGGCTTTTCCTCCACTATATTGTTCTCGTTGGGTATTTTGGTCACAGAGATGCAAAAGCTGAATGAAGCATAGGGGCTGTTGGGTGATAGAGGAGACTGAGAAGCAGAGATGAGTGACACCGTCCCGAGATAAAGAGGAAGCTGCCTCTATCACTGAGAATTCTTAAATTTCCATGAAAACTCTCTGCACTTGTGACCTCTGTGCTCTAAATTGTCCCTTTGTGTACATTCCTTCTTTCTTTGATGTAAGCCAGCTTGAGAGAGTTTCTGTTCTGCTCAGCCTGGAGTAGGGCACAAGCACAGGTCATTGGAACTTCAGTTGCATCCATAAATGTTTCATATGCATTATGAGGAGAAGGGGTTTTGTCTAATGGGAAAAACCAAGAGTCAGGATTTAGGAGATGCACTTTGGTTACAGTAATGCCATTAGCTGGCTGTGTGACCTGGGGCAAAATACCCTTTCTCAGCCTTGGTTTTCTGGTCTATAAAATGAGGGCAATACCGCTTGCCATGTCTATTTCATGGGCGGAAGATATATATAAGTAATATGTTAAAGTGTTTAGAAGATTATGAAGTGATATGTAAATGCGAGTAATCATTATTACATTTGACCAAAATAAAATCGTATTTATGTTATACCCTTTTTATACTAGTAACATTTCTAAAAGCTTGTCTGGCATTTCAGTTCCATTAAAAGTACTCAGAACTATTTTCAAAACTGTTCTCCCTGGTTGAAGACCAGCAGGCCACATGTAGTTTTCTAATTTTTGCATCTTTATGCTTTATCTCTTCAACTAGATTTTCAAAGTTACAAAAGACAGGAACTCTGATTTTTTATATTTTGTTCTTCTTTGGACCAAGCATATTCTTATAAATTTTTGAAAATATGTGTTAAGGGCATATAGGACAGAAAGGAAAGTTGGATGGCTAGTGTTCTAGGCTATTCTTCTATGGTCATGTAAGAGAAATTTAAGATCTCTGTGACTACGGCTCTCCTAGGAAAACAATAGGAAAAAAATAACTGTGGATATTCATACATATTGTGTGCCATGCCTATGCTTTTTTTTTTTTTTCCTGCGGGAGTAATGCAAATAACATCACTGTTACTGATTCTTCCAGTTCGGTGAAGCTGTTTTAAAATTCAATGTTCCTGTGTTTGCTAGCATGAATATATTTAGGATACCTGCTCAGTTGAAAAAAATTCCAGAGTCTTTCTGGGTAGGAGATGTTCGTCACTTGGTCAAGATTTCAATATTTGGAAAGTTAAGCATTTATTGTTCTATTGGTCAAACAAATAGAAATTGAATTGCAAAATGATCACAAAATTCCCAGCTGTCCTTTGATAAAAATAGATAACTTGTCCAGGCATACACTTTCGAGGTATTTAAGCTGTGATCAATTTTATTTATTAGAAACAGCTAATATTTTTCAGAGGGGAAGGGGATGATTCCTACTGACAGTTTTTACCTTCTTGGATTCTGGAATCAAATTGTACTTATTGGCGACTTTACTCTATGTCCCTATAACACCTGTCAAGAATAATGCTGAACCTCAGAAGTCCATATTCTGGAACAGGGGGCCGCAGACTATCCATGGCTCAAATCTGCCTATCACCTGATTTTGCAAATAAAGTTTTATTGGAATGCAACCATACCATTGTGGCCGCTTTTGACTACATGAGCAAAGCTGAAAAGTTACAACAGAGAACGCCTAACCCCCAAAGCCTAAAATATTTGCTCTCTTGTCCTTTACAGAAAATGCTTGCAAATCCCCATAAGAAGCAGCCTGTAAAGTTGAATATTTGTTTTGCATGTAAGGATGAGGGTGAGTCCTCACATGCAAAGTTTATAAGGTCTAGTAGAACTTCTCTATATATTTATTTTTATTTTGTCAGTTTTGACTTTTGACTACTCCTAACTAAGCCTTCTTTTCCACATCTCTAGAGTGAAGAAGCAAATCACATCCATGTCATTGGGTTCCTGTGAAGACGAAAAGTGACGGTAGGTGGTGACATATTTTGTACAGCTTGAACCTGAACTGCTAACCACTATCCTGTATCCACTGAGCAAAAGAAAAAGAAAACATAGAGGAGGGAGAGGCAGATAAGGACTGGGAGAGGGTGAGGATAGGGTCATCTCCTGCAGCTCCAGGGAAGCCAGCTAAACCCAGCCCTCATTCTCCTAGCAGGGGCTTCCCTCCCCCGCCCAGAGCCACACCACCACCGAAAGGCCAGAGACTCTGTTTGCTAGTTACTCACTTGACCCAGAGAAGCAAGCGCCCCTCTAATTTCCATCTCTGCTTTCTATCGCTAAGATAAACCAGTAATGATTCGCCAATGAGATGCAATTACACCACCCACGGAGGTCAATACTCCATCAGTGGTCCCGTTCCGAGCACGGCTTTGATCAGTTGGTCAAAAATTTCCTTTCTTTCGATGCTTTGTTAAATCATGATCGATGGAGAGGTGTAAGGGGTTAAGATTGGATGCGATTTTGTTTTTGATTTAACTTTGGAACAGCCCTTCAAACTGGGGCCATGTGTGTCCGAGTCTCCCTGGAGAAGTTCCCAGCCACCCAGAGACCAGACAGTTAGGACTTCTTCATATTCCTATGGCCACCTCCCTCCTTCTTTTCCAAATAGAGGTCAGATGCTGGAGAACAGAAAATAATGTAGACTCTTCTGACTGTCTTCAGGGACGATAAGGAAGTCCACAGCAAAACGGAATATGTTTTTTTTCATTAAATATTTTTAGATCTTTCTTAGTCTTTCTTGGTCTCCTTTTCTCTATTTTTCTCCACCCCCCCCCCACCCCCCATCTCAGACTTTCTCCTCTAAATTAGAACAGCTTGTTCTTCCTCATTTTAGAAATCTCACTCAAAGTAATGAAGCCCTTGTAGATAACCCAAGAAGACTATTGACTGTTTCTTAAACACTCTCCTCGGGAGCCTGATCACCACATGAGGATCGGATGCTGATTTACAGGACTAGAGCAATATTAGGCAGAGAATAAATCCAAATGAAAAATCCAACCTTCCTCTGAAACGTTGACAGTTCATTAGATCTTGGTGTTCATCTGGGTCATAATCAAAGTAGAATACCTGATTTTTTTTTTTTGAGGGGTGGAGCAGTGGGGGTCTTTTATCTTTCTTGCTATAATTAAATTTATCTGAAACTTTAATTTAAGCTTAGGTCAAAGGTAGAATTTTCATCTTGGTTTTGATATGGAGTCACATTTACTTAAGATTTACAATAGAGGCTTGTGACTGGTGGCAAGGTTAGGATTTCATTACTTTGTGTTTAAAATTTAAATCTTTAATCTTCCTGGATTTTACTTTTATAATATGACAAAATGCTTCAAATTTAACAAATACATAGTTATTTTTTTCCCCAGAAATTCTTCTTATAGGAATCTGTAATCTGAAATAATAGCCCATGGACTTTTTATAAGATATTTACCACATTTTTTTGCTTGGGGGTGGGGGGGTTGTCCAGGCTAATCAGGACAAAACCAAAACAAGTGGCTGTCCATCAATAAGGGAAAGATTGAAAAAAGTTTGTATAATTCCATTATGGAATATTAAATGTTTCCTAAAAGGGATAAATTAAACTTCAATTTGCTGACCAACAAACTCTAGATAGGGCAAAGGGGAGGCAGGGGATGGGTGGGGGCATGGGGACAGGAAAACAGTGGAATGAGATGGATATCATTACTCTAAGTACATGTATGAAGACACGAACAGTGTGACTATGTTGTGTACAAGAGATATGAAAAATTGTGCTATATATGTGTAAATTGGAATGAAATGCATTCTTCTGTCATACATAACAAATTAGAATAAATTTTAAAAAATCTAAAAAAAAACACTGTATCATCATGAGAAAGGCACCAAGTGAGAATAACAATCCTAAATCACTCATATTGTTTATGTATTTTTAATGTAGAGAGACTTCAGTAAGAAAAAAAAAACAGAATATGATTACATATGACAAAATTTTTTTTTTAAGAATAAAACAAATAAATGAGTAGAAGTATTTCCATCCTCATAAAACTTAGCACCAAGTTCTTCAGGAGCCACACATGCAAACAGAGGTATCCTGGGTGGTGTCCTTTGTACCATCAGCCTCTGGGAGAACTGGGATAATCCAGGGAGGAAGCAGGGTCTATGTCAGACTTGGTGGCAGGAGAATCCTCGAGCTATTTGTTCTGGATTATGGTGATTTGACTTGGTTTTCCTGAGATGGTGTCCCACCTGCACCCACTTCCTTGATGGCTCACCCATCATTTTGCCCTCAGAGGGTTCAGATGTCTCCAATCATAGTTTTATAGCAAAATTTTAACCTATCTCCTATTAATTTGAATTAATTGTATACATTTTGTGGATTAAAAAAGAATTAGATTTGTAGACTGTAGGATCCAGGTTTGAGTTGAACCTCCTGAAATCATCTTTGTAACCTCAAATAAATGCCTACTAGTTTAAGATTCCTCTGTCACCAAGTGGGGACAGGACCGTGTCTTCAGTATATCTCTCTCAGGAGAGTAGGAGGTATTTTGAAGTTGGGTGATAAAAATACTTCATATTATCTGCAAGTTCAAAATGCTATAAATGATCTCACTTCTATTTGATTATCTTCTTTTTGGGAAAGAAATAATTTACATTCTTCTTTTGTGAGGTTCTGGCAGGAAATCACGTTTGCCTTTTGGTCTTTTTGCCTCTGGTGTGTGAGTAGCCAAGGGCAGACAGAGTTCAGGATGGCTGGTGTCAGGGAACACTCCACAGACCCAGAGAAAAGAATTTTCAGGCTTCTGCCTAGTGGGTGAGAAGTCAGTATTCCCAGGGTCTCCTCTATTATGACAGTCAACTAGCCTTTGACAAAACCAGCCACTAACTCATCAGTTCTGGTCAATAACAGGAAAATAATCTATTTTTGTATTACTTTCTGTTCTTCACGTGGATGTCAATCTGGTATTTTCTCTTTTTTCCCATTTTTGGTTACAAAATCACCCCCTCTTTATAGAGTCATTGCATTAATAAAACATGAAGGGAATGCCCTTCATGTTTTGGTGGGCAGCATCAAGAGCACAAACCTGTCACCACAACAATATGAGGTGTCTCCCAAACGCTCTAATGTTAGACAATGCAAGAAAGTTTAGAGGTGACATGATTGGGTTATGAGATTGTTAATCTAATCAGTACAGAACTGCTGATAGGGATTGATGGGGTGGTCACTGTTAGTAGGTAAGTTGTGGCTAGAGAAGATGGGTCATCCGGGATGTGCCTTTGGGGTATGTGTTTTGTCTTTGGTAAGCAGAAAGTTCCCTCTCCCTCTCCCTCTCCCTCTCCTTCTCCCA